CGTATTCCGACTTGGAGCGGGCCCTGGAGCTGTGCCCGCCCCGGCTGACCTGCTTCTCGATCAGGTGCTCGATGCGGTCGTGCATCTCCAGGTTCTGCAGGAGAAGGGGCAGGAGTTGGGAATGGGGCTGGAGCAGCAGGAGAAGAAGGGGTTGGAGAAACTCCTGAGGGAGCTGGGGGGGCTCAGCCTGGAGAAAAGGAGGCTCAGGGGGGGATATTCTGGCTCTCTGGAATTCCCTGGCAGGAGGGGGGATCCCAAGGATCTTCTCGCACAGGAGGAGAGGGAACGACCCCAAGCTGTGCCAGGGGAGGGTCAGGTTGGGAATCAGCAGGAATTTCCCCATGGAAAGGGTGGTGAGGCCTTGGCAGGGGCTGCCCAGGTTGGTTTGGAGTCCCCACCCCCTGGAGGTGCCCAAGGACTGAGTGGCACTGAGTGACAAGGTGGGGACGGGGCACAGGGTGGGCTGGATGACCTTGGAGGGCTTTTCCAACCTCAGGGACCCACCTCAGCCTCCAGGTACGAGACCCTCTCCTTCAGCTCCTGGATGGTGGAATCCTTGTCCTGAATCACCGCCTTGGAGTTCTGGAGCTGCAAGAGGCAAGCCCAGAAGAGCTTGGGAACCCCCTTCCCAAAAAAAAAAGCGCCCAGGGAGCTTTTTTTTGGGGGTGCCTTCCCACCCCTGCAGCCCCTCACCCACCTGCTCGATCATCTGCCGGACTTTGCGCTGCTGGCTCTTCAGCATGTCATCCAGGTGATGGATCTTCTCCCTCAGCATGGCCACCTCCTTCTCCAGCTGGGCCGCCCTGGGAGAGCACAGGGGACACCATCCAGGAGCCACCCCAAAAAAAGGAACACACCCCCCTCCCCCCCAACACCCCAAAACGCAGCCCCTGCTCTCCTCTCTCCTTCCTCGGGAATTTTTTTTGGGGGGGGGGGGGGGCAAGGAGAGGGGAGAGAGAGAGAGACACAAACCCCTATCCCAGCAGGAGCCACAAAGCCTGGAAACCACAGGAACAGCAGGAAGAGCTGATTAAACAAACCCCAATCCCCCCCCCCGGGGGGGCTCCAAACCTGGGCTGGGATCTCCCAGCAGGACTCCAGGAGGGTTTGTTGGGGTTTTTTTTATTTTTTGGGGGGGGATGAATCAGCTGTGGGGGAGCAGGGAAGGGTGTTTTGCAAGGCAAGGCGGGGCCAGCACGCCCTGCCCTGCCCAGGAATGTGCAGTCAGTCAGTCGTGCCCCGGCAAGGAGCGGTGACATCCGTGGGCCGGCTCCGGCTCCGGAGCCTGGCGGGATTCCCGGGAGAAATGGAGAGGGATGAGGAGCTGGCAGAGCGCCAGGGGGGGCCTCGGGGCCTCACCGGTCCTGCTGGGCGAGCTTGTCCCCTTCCACGCTCCGCAGCCGCGCCAGCTCGGCCTCGCCGGCTTTCATCTCCACCACCAGAGCCCGGTGCTCCTGAGGAGGGAGGGGAGAGCGGGGTGGGAGTTATCCCCCACGGAAAATAATGGGATAGGTGTTTCCTCTGGGCTTCCCAGCCTCTGATCATCAAATATCAACAACCTCTGACCACCCCATCCCACCTCTGGTCACCAAATCCCAACCTCTGGTCACCAAATCCCACCTTTGATCATCCAATCCCACCTTTGATCACCCAATCCCACTTCTGATCACCCAATCCCACCTCTGATCACCCAATCCCACCTCTGATCACCCAATCCCACTTCTGATCACCCAATCCCACCTCTGATCACCAAATCCCACCTCTGATCATCAAATACCAACCTGTAATCATCAAATACCAAACTCTGACTGTCCAATCCCACCTCTGATCATGATCCCACCTCTGACCACCCAATTCCACCTCTGACCACCCAATCCCACCTTTGATCATCAAATTCCACCTCTGATCATCAAATACCAAACTCTGACCGTCCAATCCCACCTCTGATCATGATCCCACCTCTGATCATCCAATCCCATTTCTGATCATCCAATCCCACTTCTGATCATCCAATCCCACCTCTGACCACCCAATCCCACCTCTGATCACCCAATCCCACCCTCTGATCACCCAATCCCACCTTTGATCATCCAATCCCACCTCTGACCATCAAATTCCACCACTGATCACCCAAGAACCTTTCCCTAAAGCCCAACCTAACCCTCCCCTGCCCCATCTGCAGCCCTTCCCTCAGGTTCTGTCACAGGAGGAGAGCTCAGCTCATCCCCCACCGTCCCGTTTAGGACTTTAATCTTAAAAATGAACTAAAAAAAAACCCACAACACCCCACAATAATAAGATCCCTCGCTGCAGGTTGTGGGAAATGCCCCACGAGCAGAACTGTCTAGACAGCGCTGCCACTTCCAGGAGACCTGGAAGAGCCTGCATGGACCAACCAGCTCTTCTAGGCCTGGGGAAAAAGGCCCCTTCCAATCACACCGGTGGATTCCCAGCAGGTGGATATCGGGTTAGACCTGGTTTGGGAAGCCAAACCCCCGCTGGGGGGTGAGATTTTGATTCCCAGGCCCAGCTCTGCTAATCCTGACCCCTTTTCCTTATCCCCTGGAGGCTGCTGGTACCTTTTCCAGCCCGGCCAGGCTTCTCTGCAGCTCATCCACCTGCAGCTCCTTCTGCTGCGCGTTCCTCTCGGCTCTCCGGAGGGCAGAGCTCGTCCTCTCCGCGTCCTCCTGGTACTGGGCCACCGTCCTCTGGGGGAGGAAATGATGGGAAAGGCTCGACACATCCCCCAAACCCCCTGGGTGCTCCCAGGGGGGGTTTGGTGAAGGTGTCTGGGGGTGCCTCCAATTCCTCGAGACAGGGAGGTCCCTCAGGAGGTTCCCCCGGTTTCAAAACACTTCTGAGGGTGAGGGAGAAGCTCCCCAGAAAAAGTTACCCAGAGGAGGGAGACACAGAGGTGCTGAGCTCCAGGGGGACCTCTGGGACAAGGATGGGGTGACCAGTCCAGGGGGACCCAGGGGACAAGGATGGAGTGACCAACACAAGGGGTGGCCCAGGGGACAAGGATGGGGTGACCAGTCCTGGGGGTGACCCAGGGGACAAGGATGGGGTGACAAGTCCAGGGAGTGACCCAGGGGACAGGGATGGGGTGACCAACACAAGGGGTGAC